CTTTTCAGTTTACCCAACATTTTTACATATGGTTTTAGTCCTTAATAAATGAGGGAGGACTGACAGGCAGGGTCGACGCCCCTACTCAGCCTTGAAGCAGTTACAGAAGACTGACCATTGCCCCTTGCTTCCCATTAGAATGTGGGAGTAAAATCTCTGAGGGGGGGATGAAACAGGAGGGGAGGGGTCAGGGCACAACCTTTAAAAGAATGACATAGCCATAGGACATGACAAAAACTGGTTAGAACCAACTAGATCCAAGATGGCAGAAGATTCAACTTCCAGTAGACCTTGAGCCTCATTATATGCTCATTGTAATACATTAGCATATGCTAAATGACATGACACCCACAGGTGTCATGACAGTTTCTAGGCCGACCATCAAAGGTCAAAAAGTGAGTGGTGGCCCAATTTCTGGAAATCTCCGCCCCTTCTCCAAAATAGTTGGAATAATCCTCCCATTCATTAGCCTATGAAATTACCCAGCCCATAAAAGCTAACAACCCCATATTCCAGGGCCTCTAGCCTTTTGAGACGGACTGCATTCTGTATGTGGAATGTGTATCTCTAAATAAGTTCACTTCTTATCTCAAGGAGGGGGGGAGGATTGTGTGAGCCATTCACTGGAATATAATGAAGTTGGCAAGATAGGTATTATCGCATCATTACAAATTAGAACGAAGCCTCAAAGATCAAGCAGCTTGGGGACCTCCCTGGTGGTGCAGTGGTTAAGAATCTGCCTGCCAATGCAGTAGACATGGGTTTGATCCCTGGTCCGGGAAGATCCCACATGCCACGGAGCAACTAAGTCCGTGCACCACAGCTACTGAGCCTGTGTGCCACAACTACTGAAGCCTGCGTGCCTAGAGCCCGTGCTCTGCAACAAGAGAAGCCATCACAATGAGAAGCCCACGCACCGCAACAAAGAGTAGCCCCCGCTCTCCGCAACTAGAGAAGACCCAACGCAGCCAAAAATAAAACTTAAAAAAAAAAAATCAAACAGTATGCCCAAGGGCAAGCTTGCCCAAGGGCACCAACTAATGACAAAGCCAGGCATAGAGAGCCAGGTGTTTTGACTCCCAAGTTTTTTGCTTTTTTTAAATTTCTGTTTGCACCACACAGCATGCGAGATCTTAGTTCCCCAACCAGGGATCAGACCTGTGCCCCCCTGCAGTGGAAATGCAGAGTCTTAACCACTGGACCGTGAGGGAATTGCCCCTGTTTTCTTGATGTCACACTGCCTCATTTAACCACTTTGTGCTGCTTTTTCTAATCAGTACAAGAACCAGCCAAGACCAGTCTGGAACTTTTAACATGGAGCACTCACAGAAATTTCTTTCAAATGGGATTAGTCTTCTTGCTTGGCCTTGTTGAGGCAGGTCAGAGATCTTGACCACCATTAAGGATTCCGTGTGAACTATGAAGGTTTTATTCTGCTTGATGAATGTGTATTAAACAGGCCTCTCCTTTTGCTTTGTGTCCTAGCCCACAAATCAGCAAATTGTCAGGTAGCCCTCAAAACACAGCATCTCTAGGGACCCCAGGACCCTGTAAACATTTGCCCCACTTTAGAGTGTTAGCTTGAGAAAGACTTCCGGAGTTTGCCTCACCTCTGTTGCTACATGTTTCTTTCCCAGAATGGGAGAAAAATTTGTGTATAATCAGGCACCAAGACACTTGCCCAAGTTACTGGGGGAAGGAGACCCCTTTACTCTCGATTCTAAATCAGTATTTTATTAATCAACAATAGTTTTATTCTTAACCGTGAGCAGAGCACTATGCTAGATCCTAAGGAAGTTCACAAAGATTGTCATATTCTACCTTCAAGAACTTAGAGTCTAGTTGAGAATGTGGAACAGATGTGCATACTTTTCAAACAAAAGCAACTCAAAGCAATTTAAGCATTGACTGATAAGTGTGAAGAATACGTGTTGTAGGGAAAAGACACTGAATTCCAGCCCATTGTTGTACACAGC